GTGTGGGTGCGGATGTGAGTGTGGGTATGGGTGTGGGTGTGGGTGTGGGTGTGGGTGTGGGTGTGGGTGTGGGTGTGGGTGTGGGTATGGGTGTGCACTGTAAAACATTATAGTATAGTGTAAAAGTCTTGTCTTTTCTTCAGCATTGTATGAACCTTTGAAGGGTTTATGGACGTCACATATACGAAAACACCGTTGATGTAATCGTGGGTTTCAGAAGTGAACCATTCTTGAGATTTTAAAGGGTTTTTGTTCATCATATTTTCAGACCAACATTCGTTCAGATACGATACGAAGTAGAGTGATCCACGGTTTTTAGGAATTCGTTTTCCCAAATACGACCCAGGGAATAATGCTGCATGGCTCCATCAACTAGATTTTTCCAAATACTGTTATGAGAATAGTAATCCACAGTTTCATCAAAAAGATTTTTGCAAATACGATCGAAATTGCAGAAATTCAAGGCTTTACCAGACGGGTTTTTGCAAATACGATCGAAGACACAACAACTCACGGCTGCATCAAAAGGGTTTCATACAAATACGATCGAGGAAATAGTAATCTACGCTTTTATCAAAAGGATTTTTTTAAATACTATTATGGGAATAACAATGCACGACTTCATTAGAAAAGTATTCGCAAATAGCATTGAGAGAATTGTAATTCACGGTTTCATCGAAAGGGTTTTTCAAAATATGATGCAGAAATCAATGATTTACGGTTCTAGTCAGAGATGTTACTTTATCTTTTTTTTATGAATAAGGATAAAGTAAATATTGATCTTTATAAAATAAAAATAATTAAAAATTTGCATTATTCCCTAGACTGAAAAGGATAGGGTCTAGAAACGGGAATTATCTTTTTACATGTATCATTTTTGTCGGTAACATGGCACAAATGACCATTTTTTAGGCGCAAATAATCATGTAACTATGGTATATTTTTGACAATATTATTTTTTTTGCTATTGTTTTTTTTAATAGCATAAATATTTAATATATTTTTTTTATTACAAGAGCACGAACCTAAATATTGAAAATATTTCGTAATTATATATATATAAGATTGTATTTTATTGTAACAAAACAACGCT